GAGGTTCAGGGAAACTGAGATGTCACAAAGCTGGACAGCAGCACAGTCACCCCCAGGCACAGACGAGTCACCTTCAACATCCCTCCAGGCCCTGTGAGCCTCAGCGTCCCCACGGTAGGGGGGGCACTGACGGCCTTCCCCTGGGGCCTGCGCAGAGACGAAGCAGACGCAGCCCGGGCACACACAGTGCCAACTGCCAAGTGCTTCCGCTAACACACATGCAAAGAGCACACACGTGGCTTTTCCAGGCTCCGAAAGAGCTTGTCCTGACACTCTTACTACTCATGACAGCAACGCTAACCTTCTGGGCCCTTCGAGGCAGACGGGAGGCAGGACGGACAAGGGCTTCCCTCCTTGTGAGGCGTTGTTCCTCATTCCTGGGTGTCTACCAAGTGTCTGCTGAGCACCAGGCGCAGACTGTGCCCTGAGGCCCTGAGAGGTCAGGCCGGCCAGTGACTGGGGGTCTATACGAGCCCGGGTCCTCCAACTATATCACCCCCTGCCCCCACCCCACCTCAAGCTCTCCATACCTTTCACAGAAGCAGAGTCTAGAAGGCCCGAGCTCCTTACCCTGGCCTGGTCCCTGTGCAGGGTTGAGGTGAACCTCCTGTCCCACTCTCTGCCTCCTCGACTCACTGGGGACCAGGAGCTGAGTGGGTCTGTGGGGCCCATGGGACCAACTGGGGCAGGGTCTGTAGGGACAGGTGCTTTGAGGAGACTGCTGGGTCCAGTACGGCCACTGGGGCACTGGGACCTGAGGGGGAATCACTGACCAGGCTGGCTTCCCGTATGCAGAGGTGAAGGGCACTATCAGAGCAGGGGGCCACCCACCCAGGTGTCAAGGCCACCCCATCTCCGACTGCTTCCCAGCCAGTTTCCCCCTCCCTTAGAATCCTCCAAGATTCCTGGACCACGCTCCAAATGCTCTGACTGACGTAGGAGACAGTGTCAATCTAATCCAGCCTGCCTTTGCTTCTGGCACCCCACCTGTGGCCCCAGCCTCAGCCTCCCCAGAACCTGCTGCACCCACTCTGCCCTGTCCTCACCCACCTTGTTCACTCTGGTCCCCACACACTCAGGGCCCCAGCCTGGCCTCTTCAGAACCTACTGTGCCCACTCTGCACCCTGTCCTACCCACCATATCTACTCTGCCCCCTTCCCCAGCCCACCTGGGTACGCCTGCCCATGTACCAACACTGTGCCCACTCTGCCCCCTTCCCCAGCCCACCTGGGCGCGCCTGCCCATGTACCAACACTGGCTCCAGCGTCACCTCCAGAAAGCCGGCCAGACCCCAGTGGACCCTGTGCAGCCCCTCCCACTGCCCCAGAGCCCGTGCAGTCACCGTCACCACCTAGGTCTTCTTACCCCATAACCACACTGAAGGTGCAGGTGTCAGAGCCAGAGTGCGGCCACCAGCAGGATGGGGACAGCAGGGGAGGGGGCATGAGATGGGGGGGCAGACATCACTCCATCCCATGAGGTGGGAGAAAACGCCTGGTGTGGTGGTTAAGTTTGTGTGTCAATGTGGCTGGGCCTGGTTGAGTGGCTGGGCAGCCGGATGTAGTATTCCCCATGATAAGACTGGTAATCAACTCCATGGTGGAATCTACTGTGAGCAGCTGAGTAGCTGCCTTAGGGCTGTGGTCTGCTTCCTGTATATAAGAAACAGCTTTGGGAACGGTCTGTAGCTTATGGCATCGTTGAACCCTGCATGTAGCCGTGTCATTGTTCAGCAGCCTGTCATGCTCTGCTGACCTTAGGACTTTCAATGGACTTGAATCAATGGCCTGCCGTGTGGTTTGGTAACATCGGGACTGTGCATTTTAGTTGTTGACCTTGGGCTTGTCAGCCTCAGCAGCCAGCAGCTGCCTGAGTGAAGAGATGCCTCCAGCTTCAGTGGGCCGGGAGCAGGAGGCGGAGCTAAAAAAGCCCAAGGTTGAGGGGCTTTCACACAGCCCTTAGAGCCTGGCACTTTGAACTTGGACTTCTAGCCTCCCGAACTGTAAGAAAATAAACTCCTGTTTGTTAAGGCTGTCCCATTGGTGGTATATTCCTATTAGAGTGACACTAGGAAACCAGAACACCTGGTGATCTGCTCCCATGAAGATCACAGCCCAGGAAACGTTGGGGGGCGTCCACTCTGTCATATGGGGACACTCGGAGTGGGAAACTGAGTCATCGGCACACAACAATACGTCCTCTGTGAGCTCTGTTCCTCCTGACAGGGGTGGTGGTCTAGGGAGAGGCCTCCACCTCAGGGACACCCAGCCAGGTCCAACTGGAACTATCTCTCTACTCCCTGGACTTCCGGTGACATCTAGAAATGCACAGTCCAAGGTGGAAGAACCCATGTTCATGTACACTTCTCCACCTACAAAGTCCCACAACATAAACTGTGGGCTGTGGTGATGACAGAGCTGGGTGGAATCCCAGAGCCGCCACTTTGGACAGCCCTGAGGGAGGGGTAGGTAATTTCCCTGAGCCTCATATTACTCACCAAACACCATGAATAATAACAACTTGCCATATCACGTATGTGCCAAGCCACACGGCTCTGAGGACCATGGAAAGGCCATGGGGTGAACCATGGGCACACAGTAAGCCCCAGACAAGTGGCAGCTACCACTATGAACACATGCCCTCCCTATAACTCTTATGGAAATGAGGCCCAGAGAAGGAAAGGACTTGTCAGGGTCACACACCAACAGGCCCAGTCTCTGCCCCCCATCACCAAGGAACCTGTATCCTCTGCCCCACGTGAAGGACCAGGCACCCTACAAGGGACCACTTACCTCCTTGGCAAGCTTTTCTGCCTGATCGTAGAAGTGGGTTTCCATCAGTCCAAAAGAATACATGCCTTTCACGTAGCTAGAAACAGAGAAGGATCTTAAATGACAGAGCCCAGAACATTTTTAGGCAGTGCCACCATTCTGTGATATTGTCATGGGGACACATGACGCTGGGCATTTGGCAAAGCCTGCAGAACTGCAGAGCACAGAGCAGAGCCCAGTGTCAGCCACGGACTTGAGTCAATGACAGCGTGTCAATATCGGCTCATGTGCTGTCACAAAGGTACCCCAGGGGTGAGCGACGCTAACAGGAGGAGCAACTGTGGGCGGTGGGGGTGTGGGGGCTGGCTATGAGAACTCTCTGGACTTTCTGTGCAATTCTTCTATCACTTACAACCAAACCAAACCTAATACCAGGCCCACACGTTATCAATGCCTTCATGTGCACACGAAAGCTGGACAACGAATAAGAAAACCTCACGGGAGCTGATGCATTGAACTGTGGGGTTGCTGAGGAGTGTTAAACACACCACAGACTGCCCGAAGAGTGGACGGATCTGTCTCGGAAGAAGTGTAGCTGAATGCTCCTGAGAAGCAAGGATGGTGAGACTCTCAGAGTTTGGTCCTGGGAGAAGAAGGGACCAGTCCCTGGAGCAGGACATCATGCTTGGTAAAGGAGAACATCAGCCAAAAGGGGAAGGCCTCAAGGAGATGGACGGACCAGCAGCCTTGACAGTGGCCTCAAGTGTGCCGACGCCTGAGAGGACAGGACAGGACCGGGCAGCTTTCTGTTCTGTTTGTTGTACACGGGGTCACTGTGAGTCAGAACCGACTCAACGGCACCTAACAACGAAACCGTTCTGAAAAACTAAAGTCTAAAAAGAAAAAGGAAAGGGCAGATCTGTGTTAATAAATAAATAAATGAACTATACAGATGCCCGGGGACTTGTAATCCTCACGCCCGGCCAGCTATTGCCCAAGCCGGACACTGTGCCAGGCGTCGCGTCTCCCTGCTGAGTTGAGGCTTCCGTTAGC